AAAGTCTACTTGGAAAATTGTTATTTTGACTTTTTCCTTGGTAAGCCGCCCGTAGGATTGTGTATTTAGAGGCAAATACCTTAGTGCGGGTATTACTGTCTCATGACAGCATCTAGTTCTGGTTTTTATTGTTTTACCTAGAGTGCATTACAATAAGTTTATTCACTTAATACTTTCATAGAAATATTTTAATACGAAAGTTTGGCAATATACATGTATGAACTACTCGCATTTTTCAATTTTTGTTTGTTGATAATTTCGGAAAATCGTATAAGTACTTGTCTGTGTGGTTTTATATATGCTGCAGATTTTTGTATAAGCCTAAATATATCAACTTCTCTTAAACAAAACACACAGTACTGTAATTCTAAGTATTCTGCACAGCACGCTAAAATAGAAACTCGGTAATGATTTGTTAATGTCAATATCAAAAAGACTATTTATTACAAACATTAAAGAAATACGTGCATGATTGTAGGTGCCCTAAAAAATACTATAGTAAACTATAGTTAACTATAGTTTAATATAGTTAACAATGGTAAATCAAAGTTCCAAAGTTTTCAAAATAGTAAATCAAAGTTCCAAAGTTTTACCATAGTAACCAAAGTTCCAAAGTTTTCACCATAGTAAATCAAAGTTCCAAAGTTTTTTTCTATAGTTAAACAAAGTTCCAAAAGTTATCACCATAGTAAATCAAAGTTCCAAAGTTTTAACTGTAGTAAAATCAAAGTTCCGAAGTTTATGTCATAGTTATTCAAAGTTCGAAACTTTTTACCATAGTTATTCAAAGATTTAAGTTTTTTGAAATTACTTTCACAATTTTTATAATAAAAATAAGTTATTTTTATTATCATTTAAATGTTTTAAAGGGAAAGATATTAGTCCTGTTCTGGCTGATTTTGTTGTTCATCTTTAATTTAACATGCAAAATAATTAATGAAAATGTAATATTTACATCGAGCAGTGTTGACTGAAGCTAAGGAAATATTTTTATTCTAAATGACACAAATTTTATCTTAGAGTAAGTTTTTTTCTACATAAATAAGGTTTACTTTTTATCCCTACAACATTAAAATTAAATAAATTTGAATAAATATTGCTTTTTTATTGGAGCAAGAGAAAATCTTTACATTAAAATTCATTTCTTTTACATAATTCTTAAGGGGACGGTTTGGGTTTTTGTAATAGTTCTCTAGAGCCTTGATGAATTCTAACCTTGACATTTTATAAATTGTATAAAAACATTATTCCAGAGGTTTGATAATACCTGATTAAAGTTGCAAATTTTCACCAAAGTCAATTAAAGTTCCAAAGTTTTTACCATAGTAAATCTCTTATGAAAGTTTCGAACTTTTTACCATAGAAAATGAAAGTTCCAAAGTTTTTACCATAATAAATCAAAGTTCCAAAGTTTTCACCATAGCAAATCAAAATTCCAAAGTTTTCACCATAGTAAATCAAAGTTTCAAAGTTTTCACCATAGCAAATCAACGTTCCAAAGTTTTTACTGTAGTAGTAAATCAAAGTTCCAAAATTTTCACCATAGTAAAACAAAGTTCCAAAGTTTTAAAGGATGAGGTGACTTGCGGCCCCTCGTTTACTGACAAAAAATTAAATGTCTAACTTTTACTCAAATTTTTGTATGTAACTAGTCACTAATATATGTACCTTTATATAATACTATTTTTAACAAAAATGGAAACGTGATTTGAAAGATATAGGTCTTTTATTGGGGTAGGGGTATCACGTTTACATTCAATTCCCATTGCATTTTAACCCCGCCCCACTCTTTGAAGCCCTTAAAATATAAGAGCGCATGTAGGTACAATTTTCTCATTTGACTGGTCACTATATTTTATTGAAATTTACCTATATGTGAAAGGAGAAAGTTGTACCTAACTGCGCTCACATTCTATTTTTTAAAAAATTGTAAAATCTAGTTGGCCTTTCCCATTATGAACAGATCGACGGAACTAGATTTTCTGACGTAAGAATGAATTCATATGCTAATCGAGGCACAGGCCATACTTATTAACTGACCAATCAGCTAAATGAAATTCGTTACGAGTGAAGACCACAAAAATACTATGGAAACATGCTTGGAATTTTACTGCTTTCCGATATCTTTTTATGCATTTTAGTCACAGATAAGACACGAATCTACATATGTACCATTTCCGAGACCACAGTAAAATTTACAGTTACAAACACTTGATAAATTATATACATGATATACATGTACATTAGGTTAAAGTTTTGTAGCGTGTTTGGTTAGCAATTCTCTAGGTCTACACGTATTCCCGAGTATCGGTGAATACAAGTATCATGTGCATTTCTTGTCCTAAAAACCTTAAATGCTGAAAATTCATGCGTATTATCAAGTATAAACAGCATTGGCTGACCATTATAAAAGTTTGAAATGTAGAAAAGGATAACAGGTAAATTGACCTAAAGCACGTGTGTGCGATAAAATGTCAACGTAGTATACCAGCATGTTTTGTTGTTCTGTCATCGGATTGGACAATGACCAAGTGCGAAATAATAACAATAGCCATATAAGGTATTCTCGGACACGCATATCTCTCTATTGTACTAAGACCCGCCCATTCTCTTGCCATAAAAGAAAATATATGCACAAACCTGGCCGAATTTAGCTGTGCTAGGGTCTAAAAAATCAAAGATAATGCAGCATTCCTTATAATTAAAATGTGCCTGAACTATTGAAACTATTTGAAAGGCGTCGTATTTATTTACTCATGTTTGAAAACTACCAACATCGTCGTAGATTAAATATAATCCGTCGTGGAAAAAGGGGCCCCAGATAGCAGTTATGTCACATCATCCTTTGGAATTATAGTTAACTATAGTAAACTATAGTTTACTATAGACTTTTTTTGTTTGGGGATCTACAACATATGATTTGTAAAGATAAAATCATAGTGTAAGATAGTTGACCAGTTTACATATCTATAAATGACAATTTTATCAACATCTTTCAGATGAAGTTTCTGATTACTGAGTGGATCATATCAATTATATTTGGTCCAAACATACTATGGTCTTAACAAGGTAGGTAAATTAATTCTTACAGACCCATGTGTGTTGTTGAATGTAAAGGATATGGAATTCGCAATTAAAAGAAAGATTTAAACAATACACAACAGTTAAAATTTTCAAATTTAAATTATCACAACAGGATAGGGATGATTTCACAACAATGATTATTATTAAAATGCTTATTCGTGATATACTGTATTTTATTTTGTCTAGAATCATAGGGGACATTTATTGGAAATATAAATATTATTGCTTATAAAACCAAATAATTGTTCAAACGTAAACACATTAGACATTGTATAATTAATAATTGAGTAAATATTTAAGTCTGTAATTCCTAATGCATCGGTGCATGTATTTAAATAAATAATGAAATTCATTTCCTATTCCCTTATAAGGAAAAATTTACAAATTCTATTTTCTATTGCAATATTATATCATTTCCCATTTCAATTGGAAGTTTAGCAATGTTTGTTCTAAAATTGCAATATTTCATAGAAAGTAAGGTGAATTTAACAAATACATGTATTTGTCAACAGTTGATATGTTTTTTTTTAATTCTTAACCATCTAAAACAGTTACTGAAATATTTTGGTGAACTAAAGATGTCATTTCAGCACAATTGTTTAAATTGATATTAAAAAATAGTTTGCTCCTTTTTCTTAAACCATGCAATATGGAGAATGCTGTGTTGGTATCAATACATACATAAGTGAGTCCTAAATCATGATTAAATATTTCTAAGACATATAAAATTATTTTGATGACATTTTTTTCCTTATGATGCAAGTCTTGTCCAGTAAAAAATCAAACGTAATTTGATATAAGAAGATAAGGTATATCTACTATACTTTCCAAACATGTATACCATAAACCTTGGTCGGAAGACTTCATATTTAAAATATGTTTACAAAAATTTAGAAAAAAAAACATGGACGACTGAAATTTGATGTTTATGACATTCCTTTTGAAAACCATTTTAGCTATTGAAAACTGAAGATTGGTGACATGTTTTGCAAGAATTTTTAAAAAAAATAATTTTAAATGTTATAACACCCCCACCCCACCCCACCCCCCTCCCCACCCCCCCAAAAAAACAAAATAATATCACTACAGAAGAATTATACTTTTAAGGAGTAAAAAAAAATTATGCACAAACTGTTAGCATTTTGGAAATACCTTGAAGTTCATTTTTTTCTGTGTAATAAAAAAGCAAAGGTACGCTGTTTTCACAGATTTCGATCATTTAATTTCGCTATAGCGTAACGCAATGAGGTTTGTTTAATGAAATTTTATTTATATAAATTCTGACACTTTCATAGAAATCAGAACGGACTCAGGAATTAAAAAAAATACATATTAACATAAGATTGAAATTTTATAATGATGTTTAAATCAAATTAACTTAATTTTAAATTTACAATTTATCGATATCTTTTACTTCCTGCTAACATGCAGTATATAACTATTTTTACGTAGTGTATCAACTATTCTCAAAATTTGTCAACGATTAGGAAATCATCAATTAACACTGACAGTTAGTTCTTTGAAGAGATCGCTATGAACACTTTACGAATATGTGGTTTATAATTTAGGTTGGTAAAATTTCTATCTTTCAGATAGGGATACAAAGTGTAGATACAGTGTCCATCTTCCAGAGGCTTCATGGCATGCAGCATATAATGTGTGTGCTTCAAGTAACAAGACACTGGTGACACTGACATCACTTACTGAGATGTACTATATAGAACTAGTCCTGGAAGAAGTTGATGAATTACTCGGAAAAAAATTCAGTTTAAAGTATTTTGCTTCTTAACAAAATATTGAAGATATTTGAAAATTACTATAGATGAATTAAGCAAAATTCTTCTGCATCAAGTGAAATCAGTATTGAAATAACATAATGATTCTTAGTATGCTGTTTAAAAGTAAACAGACAAGTTTTTCAATCTTCTTTTTTTTAGATACTCAGAAGGCCTGTGGGTTGGGGCTTTTTTGAGTTCTTCTAATAATGAAAGTATGCTAGAAAACTGTGATCATCTTTATTCCGAAATCCCGGTAAATTTAACTGGTATAAGCCCCGATGGGTTGTTTTGTCTTTATTACAATCCAGAAGAGCAGAATCTTGTCACGGAAAACTGCACTTCAGAAAAAATGTTTATCTGCGAAAAAGATGATGAAGGTAAATTGTGCTTTCTTTTCTAACAAATATATGTCTCAATCTTACTTAAGGACAAAATTGTTCTGATAAAATCAAGAACATTACAATCTAATTTTAAAAAGTTTAATATCAAGGGGGTTAAAGAGGGAAACGCAACAAAAACGGCTATTTAACAAATGACATAACATGGGTCTAAAAATTATCACTCCTCTAATTCGGATTTTCTTCAACAATCCTTAAATTTTCATTTCATTCATTTTGTTATCTATTTGATACTCTAGTACGTGTAGCTTCTTAAGAAAAATGCAACGATTTATGATCCCTACTTTGTAGTTATTAATCAAAATAAGCGATTAAATACAATTTATTACTGAGTAAAATCTTGTCTGGCGTTTTTTATACTAATTTTTAGATCATTATATACACAATGAATTTAAGACGGATTTTCTCGTAATAATCCTATCATGACAAAGAGCAGGTGACGGTTTATCTGGTCGGCGCTGGGGATGCTCACTCCTCCATAACACCTAATCCCATGCTCACTCTTCCAAAGCAACCGATTTGGTGATCCAGGTTTGCTCGGCATCTGTTTTGTTCGATGAAATTTTGAATAATGTTCATCAGATCAATGTACTTCATTTGAGGGTATATAAATTCTCATTTATTAACAAGAGATCATTAAGACTGAATGTGTTTCATCAGGTTAAGTATAACCAACTTGGGCTGTTTCATATATATTTATGATTATTTAATTGGAAATTAAAAACGTTTTACAATAAAAAAAAGATGATTAAGGATAAGATGTTATATTATTTTATACATGTATTTAATTTCACGACTTGTTAACCCGCTTTTTCTTTCCTGAAGAAGGGACACGAAATCTGGAAAGTTGATGGAAGCAAGCAAGTTTTAGCCGCCACTGTTCTGCATTATTTACTTATCTATCCTTTTATCTGTCTACATATTTATGGTTATATATCATTTTAGATTTTGGAGAATGCATGATCAATTCATCAATATCAGCATTGCAAAACCAAACTCAGTTGTGCAATTTTGTCAATAATCCAGATACAGATTTAAATCAGTGTGAAAAAAATTGTTTAGAGAATGCAGTATGTTATACAGTTTCACATAAGCACCAAAATAACGTATGTCAGCAGTACAAGTATGATGATAAGGAATCGTGTGATTTAACAGCAAGACGACCTCTGCCAATTTCCAAATACAAAAGTAAGCAGTTAAACAACACAATATTTTTTTTCTTTTATAATTGATAACCCTTTTATTACCACCAAATTAACTTTCTTTTAAAATTGAAATACATCACCATCAGTGGTTGATGTGTGAGGGATATTCCGTATGGACAACTTTTATGATTGAAATGATAATTCGATAAGTTAACGTCCTCATCAGTTATTGAACTAACTTATGAAATGTGAAATATTCCTTGTTACTTCTACATGTCCTTTTTAAAGACTTTCTCAATTCGTATTTAATTTGTTGTATTTAATGCTAGTAAATCATCTTTCCATCTAATTAAATAAACCTTTCTGATTCCTTGATTTTAGGTATTTTTCTATACACCAGTGCTGGGTATCCCCCATCAGAGGACGTGCCTCTCGATCAATGGTGTCCAGGTACGTGCCGATTGATATTATAAAAAGAAATGAGAATAACTACAGTCTCCTAACGTTTTAGAAATTGATGGGCTCGGGGAAAATATAGTAAATTAATTAAATTTGGAATTTTCAGTCCCAATCAGTCATTTTTTTTTTATATGGGTATTTCACTTGATTTAACATCAATAATTGTATTTTTAATATAAAACAATATAATTAAGTTTTAATATTTATTTCTTCTCATTTTACGATTTTATGAAACCCGAATAACATTAATCGGGTCTATCACCCGGGTTTTATCAAGTCCTTCAGCAGACCTCTCGTATTAATCACTATTAATTCATTCTAGGAAATATAAGAATTTTGTGAATTCTTATCAGCTGACTTAAAAGGTCATATTACATGATAAATAACTATGTAGCACACAGTAACTGATAAAAAATATAAGCAATTCTTCAGATTGATTCAAGAAGATGTTTTATTTCCAAATCAAGGTTCTTTGAGGCATCAATAAAAATCAGGTTCGATTCAGTTACAACAAACATTCTGAGAGAATTGCACATTAAGTAATACACGTTCCCTACGGGGTTCCCCTTTATCTGAAGGATGCCACTTTACAGTATACAAAACTTTTGTCTTTTCTTGCGTCATATTAACCATGCTGACCTTCGAAATTTAGTGCATCACGAAACCGATCTTACACCATTATGAAAAACTAAAAATGCCCTAATTCTGTCAAAAATCAATGAAGCATAACGAAATTAAAACTTGATCTGTAACTCATCAAGGTACACTTACATTCCAAAGAAACAGCTCAAATTCTGCAAGTGTTAAGAAAAAAAGAGCGGAAAACCAAGAAGGACAGACTGACGGTGACAGACAGACGAACAGACAGACGCAAAGGAAACCTATAGTCGCCTTCGTTTTCACCGTTATGGGACTGATAAAGCAAAACATTACATTTTCATTAATATTAATACAACACTTTTTTCCTGACTTTTTTTGGAGAGGGATCTTCAATCATTTTATTCCCTCTCCCCAAATGTGTATTTATAGATCTGATCCAAATTTCAATAATGATATATTTTTCATGCATAACTTTTTGACGTTTTGTCTATATTAAACATTTAAAAATAAATCCAAAGAAAGTATGATTTTTTTTTCCAATGCATAACAAGTGCAAATAAATCAGCATTTAATGGTCCTCTTTGTTTGTCATCGATAACTGAAAAATAAATAATGCATATATTGTGCAAATCTTGTTTGAGAAACCAAAAGGAAATCATTCGGATTCAATTATCTCTTCGAGTATCGGCAAAATTTTACTGTATAATGCTTTCTGTAAAACGATATTTAGGAATATTCAAGTTGTATTTTTTATATGATAGACACACGTGTTATTTTATTTAAAATGCTTTTTACTATGTTCACAGAAGTGAATCAGAAAGATATTCAAGAGAAGATCGCTAATATGCAGAAAAATTTAACTATCAATCGAAAAGAAACAAATCAGTACACGCGCACTTTGACTAGTGCCCCGGATGAGAGGACCTCTTCAAAGAATATCGGAGTCCTTGGGGCGTTTGTAATTGGTGCAGTGGGAAGTATTTTTCTCCTCTCCGACTGCATAAATATTATCATTTGGATACAAAATAATCGTGTACACGCCAGAAATATTTGACTTTTTCAAGGAAAACTGGATGTAGAGCATAAACATGAAAAAAGGCAACATCATTTTAGACGATATGTTGTCGACAATACTTAGATTGCATTGTCTGCTTACGATAAATGTAACAAGATGGTATTTTAATATATGTACATGTCATATTACAATATTTACTATACATGTAATTAACTTCTATACTTTTTTTTAAGCGCTAAGCGCGCATGCGCAAGCGATTTATAAGGTGTCTTCAGATTTTCACGATCTTTTATTCAACGCCCTCTACCGACAGCATATATCATGGCTGCACTATATACCATACTTCCTAGTAAACTTACACGTAGTTTAATATACCGGTATATACAGCATGTCGCGTAATGCAAAGTGTTTTCCGAGTAGGATTACAGGATTTCAAACTTAGCATAAATATTTATATGTATATTATTTACGTAGCTGCTATTCTTGTTCAAATTTGGTATCTGTACCTAATATCCATCTAGCACTAAGATCTTGAACGCACCCCTGCATGACCCGCCCTCTATAAATAATGATGATAATTATGTAAACAAATGGGTTCTATATAATGCCTTTGCAAGGGCTACTATTGCTGACCTAATTTATCTCCGTGGTGTAATATGGTTACTTTTAAAGGTGATGATATATAAATTATATATTTCAATGTTGTATATAATGTTCTCAAAAATGACGAACTATATTACGTGGAGTGATACATAATATAGCGCCGCTGAGCAAGTTATGTAACTCTACTGAGCCGTCTAACAATCCCCGACCTCTGTCCGCTACTTTAGTGTAGGAGTTATCAAAATAGGTGTTAATTGGGACAGTCGATATTAATACGTACGGAAATCCTGCAGTATGGGGATAAGGGCGGTTCTTATCTCTGAACAATATGGTGCGTATTAATAAGTATACTGGCAAACACTCATTATGTCACAAATGTACATGTAATCTCTGTAGTGGTAATTCGAAAAACTAATGACCATACATGTTTATATATTAATACAAGTACCGAAAAAAGATTTATGCACACATGTATTTAAGTCTCATTAAGCTTAAAATATCAATGAGTATTAAAAAATCAAATTAGAATTATATGATTTAGAAGCATAATTCCATAAAAAAATATTTATTAAACTAGCTTCTATATCTAATTTGTATCTACATTTTGTAGTTTCGTTACATAATTTTTCACGCCCTCTTCTGCATAAGCCTTTATTTCAAACAATGTAAATTTTATACAAACGAGGATTTTTATTATCACACTTGCATTACATGTGTGTTCCCATATCGCCTTTACTGTGAAATCCAATTAAGAAAAAGTTAAAAAGTACTAAGACGAAATGGGAATTTTAGCATTTGTAAATATTACCGGGTTGATATAAAAATTTATATGAAAAATTTTTTTAGACTGAATTTAACAGTTAATGAGAATTTATGAATACAGTGTATGACATGATAAATGTAATACCAAAAAATATTTGATGCTAAATATATATTCAATCTTCATCATATTATTTCACCTGAGAGCTTACTTAGGCGAAATGTGAATGCTAAATTTTAGAGCTAAGGCAAGATCGGATCAAACCGCATTACACAGAGGGCAATTATCTTTTAGCAGTACAAACTTGAAAAAAAAATCCATTTCACTGAACGATTGGGTGTTCAAAAAATGAAGCATTTTTGTTAAAAGTATTTTCGCCAAAATGGGATCAAGAAAAATACGAACAAATTTCAATGTTTTTTTTTTTTGTCTAAATAGAAGAGTATGTGATTTCACATTTTTATTTTAAAAAGAAATATTGTTAATTCTGCTTCAAATATTACAGTAGAACTCGGTTATAACGAAGTCGCTGGGACCTATGAAATCACTTCGCTATATCCGTAATTCGTTTTAACCGTATAAGAAATACATGAAATTCATATAGCTGGGGATCCTAAATGACTTCGCTGTATCCGTAAATTCGCTATATCCGTGTTCGTACTAAACGAGTTTTACTGTACACGAGAAACAGAATGGCCAAGCTTTTTTTTAAATTTCGGTAAAAAAAAGGAATCTCCCTTCATATTGTACACATGATGAATAAGTGTAATAAATATAAATTGTTTGAAAAAATTCCTACAAGCCCTGTGGTTGAATACTAAGTATATCGTCGGGGGAGTCCAAGGTTATTAAGTCTTCAGGGATCTTTGTTACATTATGATAGCAACATGCTGCACGAGGTTGGATTGGTTTCACAATAAATGTGAAATATTGAAAAAATATTATTATCATATTATTCAAGATTACACATTATGATGACGCCCGAAAATACCAGGGACTTCCGTCCCGGTTGATGCACATGAACAAATTTACCCGATTTCATCGAAATATTTGCAAATCGGGGGCATATAAAATTAACTGTAAATATGAAAAGGAAGAGAAATGTATAACAAAATTATTAATGTATGCATATACCATGTTTTATTCTGATTTAGATAAATAATCGAGCGAAGTTTAAGCGAGGTGAGGCGAATGACAAAAAAGAGTTGCAAGCCTTCTCTCTTTATATGTATCAGTGAAACACGGCATTTTTAAAAACAGCTAGAGTTGCATTTTTGATAACATATAGTGCATATTATAATAGAAAAATAGGTAAAAGGTGAATCGAACCCAGATTTAAAAAGAAAAAAAATGGAAAGGGGGGGGGGGGAGTCCATACCCCAAGTGCCTATGGCTAATGCAGAGTTTTATACCTAATCTGAAATGAGGAAGGTCAAAAGAAAAAAAACGGACTGTAATATTTATATAAATTCAATTTTATCGCAGAAACCTGGATCCAAAATGCAACACTTTGTTAACTTTTTTTTTCATTTTTTAGACTTTATTAAAGTAACAAACCTTACACTTGGTTTTATTTAACGTAGCAGTCAAGGCGATCAAGAGGCGGGTTTAGTTGAACCATGCTTAGCGCTTCCCAGTACTTCCAGTACTTTGATTATTTCTTATAGTTGAATTGTGCCTTGAGTTTTGATCTTCAAATTTTTAAAACAAAATGTTCTGTTTGAATGCATGAAATATCATATTAATTTAAAAAAATCAAAGAAAATGATTTCTTTTAATGGCATTAAGTCATTATTATTCAAATTATGCACACTTATGTGAAGGTATAATACTCAAGGGAATTAATAAAAGGAATGTATGAGGATTCACCTCTACTACCTGAGCTAACGTTCGTTAGATGCATGTTTGTTGCTGTCATTTTTTGCTTATCGGTGAATATTTTTTTAAATAACATTTTTGAAGAAGTTTTTCCATTATATCAAAAAGATAATATTTTTATCTATATGCCCTGAAAAACGACCGAATCACGCCGAATACAATTATGTTCCCCGGAAATAGTTATGTTGCCCTCCCGAACACAGTTATGTTCCCTCGCGTGCAATCATTCCGCATATTAATTATGTCTGGTTCGAAATTCACAGAGGCAGTTGCTAAGCAAACGTAAACAGTCTCGCGAAATTTAAAAACTTCAGACAACGTCTGTGAATTGTTTATTTGAATTTAGAGGAATTGGATAATTTAATTGAGGAGAAAAGTTCTTTTAATACAACAAAGTTTATCAACACACGTGTCAGCATACTGAAAACATTCTGGCATGAAACGGGACGGTATATTTCGGAATTATACTCAACGTAGATAACATGTGTACATAGTAAATATGTTTGATGATCGATTGGGGTTTTCAATGCTTTAAAATGTTATATACCATATATTACATGGCTTAATTCTCGGGCAGCAATACCAGAATATTTGCCCCTTGGTTACAGGAGAGCCCTGGAGTGTTATGTCACCATCTGCCTGTGGCATCAGGCGACATATAACACCCCAGGGCTTTCCTGTCACCTTGGGGCAAATATTCTGGTATGCTGCCCTCGAAGCCATGTATTATATGTATATTAAAAGTTAATTAAATGATCATTCAAAATAAATTTTATGAGATAAATCAGATCTTCAGAGACAGTCAGAGATTTAAAAAGTGCATTATGATTTTTTCCTTTCATTCATGTAAAAATATTCTTATTTAAAATACATTTTCCATATTTTAAAGGTACTAGTAGTTAAAGGGTTATCATGAATAAATATTTACATTATTTTATTTTTATTTTTATTCTAACTTCTGATTTGTTAAAATCCAAAAGAAACAAATATCCGTATTCCTTGGTTTGGTATCAGATAACTCCTCCCCTCAATACAAAATGAATCATCTTTATCTATTCAATCCTCTCATTGTCATTTCACAGAATTCTTGAACATTTCAAGATTTAATATCTACATCCCTAATTGCAAACAATAAATCGAACATCAAGTTTCAACAATTAACATGGATTGTACGCTATCTATATCTGTTTATGGATCCTTTCAATTCCCATCATTTCTGTTTTTTTTACAGATGAAAAGTGATAAGGATTTTTGAAACTATTGATAATCTACACCAAGACGTGTTTAATGACTTTATAATTAAATTTCAGGGAATGGCTTCAATTCTTTGCCAAATTATTATAGTACAACATTTTTTTTAGGTGGGTTAAAGCTGCTTGATTTTCTGTTTTGAGTATAAGGAACCCAACTTGTTTGCAGGAACATTGTAAGAAACATACATGCCAATTTAATGTTTGCAGTAAGTTTGCAGGAAACATTTCAGTATTCGAATGTTTGCAGGAAGTTCGCAAGAACATTAATATGACAAATCAGCTAATGAAATGCAGATTGTACTGGAGTCAACACAGAACTGGCAATTTTGAAATGTTTGAATTGAAGTCGTACATGAATCTTTCAGTATTTTGTGGAATGTATACCGTTTTGAATGATTAAAAGTGCCAGACTTTGGATTTACACGAATAGGTGTTCATTGGCATCTATGATATCTAATTGGTAAGAAATGATTTTGTTTTATTTTGATATTTGAAAGAATATTTCTTAGAAGCACATATGAGTAACTGGTGTAAACACAAGGTGGAATCTAATTCTATTTATAATAAATTCCATTCCTCTTTTTAATATGACATATGTATACTTCTTAAATGTAATAATGAACATAAATCAGTTAAATGTTTTCAAATCAATTAGTAACTGTGTAATAAAAGCTATCATGCACTTTACATGTAATAAAAAAAAACTTCATAAAATTGCATCATTTCAGACACATGCGTTAGATTTTCTCTAAACTTAACAGATTTAGGTCAAGACAAAAGGTTTCCGCAAACTTGCTGCTTGTACACAGGAATGTTCCAAAACCATAAGGAAATTATTTGCTGCAAGTTAGCAGCAACGTTTTCCGCAAGCTTGCAGCAATGTCTGAGGCAGGCTTGCAGCAATGTTTGCTGCAAGCTTGCAGCAAGGTTTCCATATTTGGAAAATCCAATGTTTGCAATGTCTGCTGCAAGCTTTCAGTAATGTTCAAATTGGGCAAAATAAATGCCTTTCTGATAAAAATAAGCAAAACAGTTTTTGTTCCAGTTTTAAATATTACTATTAGCAACAAACAATGGCTTCATGTATTTTATTCATATTAGACACAATATGTACCCTAAGCTTTTAATTACAGATAACTTCAACTGTTTAAATAGTACCACTTTGGGAGTAGAATGGAGGTCACAAAGGGGATTAAAGTTTTTCAACAGGAATATCATTGATTAAATATGCCAGTAGGGGCAAAGCAACTTAATAACTAACCCTGCAGTTTTAACAATGATGATGATAAACGACTGCACTGCATATCAGAGAATATTTTTTGCAAAACAACAAAAGAATAGTGGGCAAGAAAATAAAGTTTAATTCTTTAATTCTTACTTCAAGTTTAATACTTTAATTCAAAGATTTTTTTTTCTAAAGAAGGAAACAATAAGTTGCATTCTTTAGAATACTGAAGAATATAAATATGGCATTATAATGTAATTTTTATTTCTTATTTTGTTTAAGACTGCATTAAGGAAATTGGACTTACATCATGCTTCAATTTAAATTAAGATTATATCAAATGCAATAACACATTTTGTGCAATTTATTCACTTTTATACATAATGTTAATTTTAAATATGTTTCAAATCATTTAAAGTCAAAAGAAATATTTTTTTGCAAGCTTACTTTCTAAATGATTTATCTGTCGTGCAAAATATAAGTCACTGACGTTCGGGCATGAAATAAATAGAGATAACAAAAAATATTCTAGCTCAGAATACCCATGAAACAATGCGAAATAGGAGCAGAGCAAACACAGACCTCCAAAACATCATAGTTAGGATCAGGTGACATGGATTTGCCATATTGCTCTCCTGAAATAAGGCAATCTGTTTTTTTTCATTGAAGTGTTCCTTACAGAACACTGCACAGTATAACAAATACAAGGGAGAGCCAGGCCGTTTGTGCTGTATTTCGAGACTGTCCGTTGTCTGGTGATATCGAGCGACCTGCAGGACTGGGAGTAAGGCTCGGGTACAACACAAGACCTTGGTATTTATTTCTTGTATGACAATCAATCAAGCTAAAAGTTTTACTTAAGCAGAGTTGGACTTCCCACAACCACAAGGGCTGAAAACAAACAAAATAACATGAACTAAACTAAAGGAATTAAACTAAAGTATTCATATAATTCAGTTTCATTATTAAATTATATAAAAATGCATAAAAGTAATTGAAAAACAAATTTTTGGGAACAAAAAAATTAAAACTATGTTCTTGTAATTAAGAGGTAGATTGAATCCTGAAGTTGATGCAAATATATTTTTATCAATGGATTACCTTTCGTCCTACGTCTTTAAGAAGAATATAAGGTCGATGCTTTGTTTCTATTTTGAAACTATCTTCGATATCTGGGATCTGAGTAAAGAGCAAAAAAACAAAATACGTTTTCTTATTACTTTATTGAGCTTGGTTTGACTTCGAAAATATACTCATAAATAAAAGGTTTTTCGACATACAGAATTGAATGGTTATCTACCTGGAAATTGTTTCCTCCCACAATGTGTCTCCTCGTCAAGATTCTGATATCAATTTAAAAAATAAAAATATCAACAAAAATATTAATGCCTTTTCTTTTTATCTGAAACTGACAAAAAAAAAATAATAAAAAGGAATGCCTTAGGTGGAACTCACGCTGATATATTATAGAGGAGAGCCAATTCAGTGGCCTTGCTAAAATACTGCGCCACTGTCCTTGTGTCTTCTACGTCCGCACATGTGCCATGTTTTTGCCATTGGTACGACCTATTTATATGACGTATATGCTTAAAGAATAGTTAATGTTAATAAAAGGGATCTAGACGAAAAAAAAATAAGGAAAGAAAAAGACAACAAAAAGAGATACAGAAGAAAGTGAAAGGCAGTGGTGAGGAAAAAAGAGTTGGGGAGAAAGAAAATAGAGGTGAGAGTGGAGAGAATTTCAAATTAGACACGTGATAACACTTCGAAAATGTAAATCACGGATAAAAATATATGAAGTGAATGACGAATAACCTTCTGCTTTTTCCAATGTCAAATGTATTTGGATTAAATTGCCTTCTTTTTTAATCACTAACAAAGTAATTTATGTCAAACTTAAGTTTTCGAAACATCCAAAGAAATATTTCATCCTCTTCCATACAACTATTGAAATAAGATAAAGATAAATTCACCGAAAGAAACTATTCTGATCAAAATTGTTAATTAGATCTTTTTTCCAGATCTATTCAAGATTGAAAAAAAAGTTTGCCAATATCTTTCAGTTCACTTGCCGAAGGACGTTAAGATGACAATTTATTTGGATGCAAGAATACTCCTCCAGGCTTCAAACGAGATTTTATTGAATCATAGAAAGGATATCCGATCATCGGCCAAATTCCCCTTACTAATACAGATTAAGCATTGTTGAAAATAAACATCAATTAAATTAACTAGCTTATATTTTACCAAAATGTTGATTTAGTACTTTTCAAAAGGTCTGGCCAAATCCTTTTCATTTCATTTATTGTTCCCTGCATACCAAAATTAGAAAAAAAAAATAATGCATTCATAGTCGTTCTTTATAAATGTTATCAAAGAAAATTGAAAATTTATGACATAATCTATGATAAATAATAATAGTGCATAGTAGTTTTAAATTATATAGCATTTTGCATGTTTAATATCCTTTGCATATAATGCAAATGCTAACCTCGGGTATACTTTCAGCAGTAAAAGGAGACTTGGAACAATCTTTAACAAAACTTCCATTTGAATTCGAAGGCCTGAAAAAGAGATTAACTCAGTTATACAATCAATATAGTATATAGTTAATATAGTCCAGCAAAAGAAAATTTTATGTTTGAAATTAATATAAAAACAGGATGTGTTTACGAACACTAATCTCCCGTGTGGTTGCATTAGGTGAAATATATAATAATAAGACTTTGACACTATGAAAAATTCGATTTTCTCAAGTGAAGACTTTTACATTTTGATTTACTATATTGATTTACTAAAGTGATAACTAAGAAAACTTTGATTTACCATGGTTACTACTATGGCAAGTTTTATTTATTATCAAAAAACTGAGATTTATTCAGGTGATAACTTTTAGAACTTTAATTAACAGTAGTGATAGTGGTACACTATATTGATCTTTGGTTGACTATTTTTTTTTTGTTAGGGAAGAAAAAAAAACATTTATGAAATATGAAGGATCGTACATATGAAAGTCAAAGCTCTGGCCAATTCTAAGTTATGGGAAGGGTTAGGGTTAGATTTTTTTGAGGAAAAACAGACAGCTAGGCAGACGGATGGACTGGGCTAAAACTTCATAAAACCGAACCATCCATTATGTGCCCCCCCCCCCCAAATATAGCTCTAAATTAACGATGGTGTCTTTCACACTCTTTGCAGACTTACCAAAATCCATGAACGGTCCAGTGTGCAGGAAGTGGCTGTTTGCACTGTAAAAAATAATTAATGTTTATTTTTGGAGAGGTCCCTCAAAAGCCTGCATAAGCCTTGGTGAGGTAAAGGGGCAAAATTAAAGTACACGAAACGATAATTAACGTTTGAAAGTATTACCTTAAATTAAGTAACTTGTCATGGATTTCATTGTTTTGATTTTTTGATTATTTTTACTTTCAGTTACCTTTTGATTTTTGCAAAATGTAACTGGCCATTGAAAGGATAGAACGAAGTTATCAAATTCCACTGCTGTTAAGTAAGTCGTATGGCTGTAAAAATCAATATAATCAATCAAAAAGATTGAAAAAGAAAGAAAGATAGAAGGAGTGAGAATGCAAAAGATATAGAAAGTACATAACGGTAGAAAGTTTTAAAAAATCAGCTTTTAAATGTAAAAAAGTGGAATGAATTATCATAAAATCTGATGAATAAAAATCATCCATACTCACCAGCTTAATATCAGAATTCCGAATATCATATACACACAGGAAGAAACCATGATTGAGTATACGTGTAAAGAACCTCTAAAAATATAATTAAATCTTATATTACCGTATAGACTAACATTGGTATGTTTCTTATATAAAACACAATTAAGGGGGCTGGCGGGATGTGGTCATTTTTTGACTATGTTTATCTCCTATAGAAGAAGAGTTCCATATGAAATTATAAGAAATAATCAAATTTTATAACTACCATTTTTGAAATTTTTCTTAGCCAAATGATGGATGACAGCTTAAGATATGATATCTGAAAAAAATAAGTTAGTCTGGTGTTTAATTTGTGTTTTATTTGTAAACCACCCAGCCTCCTTAATATAATCTTATGAGTAAGACATATCAGAAACACAGATTACCAGAAGAATCGGAAAATAACGTACAGTATTCAATATCAAAGTCCAAAACACAACACAAAATAGGGCCAGAGCAAATACGGACCCCCGAAACATCACAAGTTGGATCATTTACCATGGAGGGGTGGGCATCTAATGCTGAATGGTCTCATCTGCAATGTGTTCCTTGTCATAATCGGGAAATAACGGAAATATCCCTCGTCATTTCAGTGCATGAATAATGGACAACCAATTGGTATGAAAAAAGTCAGTCAGCATTTGACAATGGTAAATTGTATTTGCTGACAAGTTCATCGTATCGACCATAAAACTTAGAAATATTGACTTTAAACGAGACTGTTGATATTCTTGTTTTATCAACTTGCTTTTTCATACATTCATTCATTTTAGAGACTGCTCTTGCGTATCGAATCAACTGATATATATTTTCATTCCCTATGCAGGAGATGAAGGTATATAGCTGCATTATAAAGGGAAGTTATAGATTCATGGAAGTCATCACGTTTATCATATAGCTTAGTTGTTAGATTAACATTGTTGTTTTCATTAAGTAAAATATCCATGTATGAAACATATGAGCAACACAATTAATGTAAAAGGGAGTGGAAAAACGTCCATTTCAGAAGTGAATGTAAAAGTAATCATTCAACTGATCATAATAAATCTCTCCATACAAAAATGTTTTACACAGTCCATTGTCAAAGCTTTCCAATATATTGTAGATGACCATGGCATACCACGCATTCTAGAAAGCGTTTCTTATATTTCAATTTAATTGTGAAATGAAAATGGTGAAAATGTAATAAAATTTGATTTCCAAAAATAATACTGTCTTCTTAGATTCAAAAGGCACAAAATCCCATGTAAATTTCAATAATGTTTGAAGAATTAATACAGAAAAAACAATTTTCGATCATTATGCAAATTATCCAGCTCATGGTGATTTCATGATTAATCTGTAACATGGTTCCACGAACAATGATATCTATATAAAGGGGATGCTTTTTTCGCACGTGCGTTCCCAACATATTTTCTATTTATGATTAATAGTCTGCATTGTAACTACTACTTAAAGACACACCTGTTAAGCATACATCTGTATGTACTTGTAGAGTTACCAGTTGTCTTTATGAGGTCATTTAATAACAAATCTATACAACCGATGTAAGGTAAGAATTTCAATTAAATCGCCGATTATTTGCTATCTATAAAGAAATATTGCATTTAGGCGTTTAATGAAGTTTTAACCTTCATTGATGTCTCAAAATCCTATTTCCAAAAGAATGTCGTTTAAGCATTGTTTGTATTTTGTAAATTGAAATGGCAATAGAAAGGTACTATTCAGTATGAAAAAAAAAATGTTTATACAAAGATAAAATGCATTACCTAATAAAATCGATTACTCAGAATTTAACTTTCGTTTTCCTGTTTGCAAGACTGTAGTGAAACATTATCTAAATATAAATCAAATTTATGATTTTAAGAATTTCAAATAAAAGTATGCCAATTGTTTGTGTCATTACAGTGGATTTATTTGTGTATAATAACTTATGCTATGATATAATTCAATGAGCACTGAATATGTGTCAAAATGTAAATCATCAAAAAACCATCAGTGTCAATGTGATTTTCCATTTCTTTTTAAAACCTATTGTAGACAATCTTTAAAAAAGAGATAAAAACCTGTATTACGTAAAATGATGCAGGAAATGTAACTTACTAGTTCAGGTTCAGGTCTCTAGAAAAAAGAAATCTTTATCGTCAGGTACTAGGAAGTCATCGTTCGAATCTTACCTGATAACAAGGCTGTTACCATGGTTTTTACCCTGACGTAGTAGATTTCAGAAAACGAGAGAAACAGATTTATCATGATATTAACACAACCGTTAAATTATTGACTCGCTTGACAAGTAAGGCTAAGATTAAATGTTTACAACTCCCTTGTATTTTTTATCTTGAAAGTTTTTCATTGATTTTTCAAATAACTTTGTTTGAATGTCAGATTACATTCTGCTTTATAAATTCAATAGTACGGTGAAGATTTGAACAAAATACTATGATAATGGTCAGTGTAATATACAAAAAAAAAATCAAGATTTCTTTCTTTTTGTCATTTGAACAAGTATTTCAATACATAATTTAACGACAGTGAACGTCGTGCGAGAAAATTATTTTTCAGCAGAAATAGAACGGAAAAAGCGGTTTTCTGATTTTAATTTGAATATTAATTAAATCCTAAATCTTGAGATCAATTTGGTCTATTTTCTGCACGATTTTCATGTCTTAATAATCAGAAACAATCTGACTTAGCTCCAACAGATAATAAGTTTTAAACTTTTCTTACCTCTGCTGATAGAAAATGATGTCTGATGAAATATCAAGGTATTAAATATTCAAATCAAAAGCAGGGATATGTACGAGAACACCATTAGGAAAAAACTATCCTAGGTGACAATGTTTTAGTTTCATATCTACATATATTATTGAAAAACCACAATTCACTTCCGAGCAACAAAACTAAATCGTTTTAAATATAAAAACAAAATGTACGAAAATAACTCAATCAGGAGCAGAGTAGGTACACTTGTGATAATTGACATATTTAAATAAGTATATTTTAAACATGCATTTTTATCTACACACATCTCTCTCTCTCTCTCTCTCTTTCTCTCTCTCTCTCTCTCTCTCTCTCAATATTAATCGAGAATAGTCATTTGTATTTTTCAAAGAAAAATATTTTCATAGGTGCAGCTCAAAGTCATTTTATATATAACTATCTATTTATTTTTCTACGAAAAATAATCCAATGTATCAACTTCATAAACAAGGAATATTCAACAAGGTGTGAAGGTATTTAATTAACGATAATAATATTAGAATCTCTTTATTGGTCTTTCTTTTGCATTGTAAACTGATATACTCAAGTGTAAATAGTATGTTTTAATACGGTTAAAATTTCTAATTTCAAGTACAGTGTACACTGTGATATATTTCAAAAACTCTACCTAGAATGTTAATATTTAGAATCTTCTATGTACTTATACATAAGTTACATGTAATTTTCAATTTAGGTCACAATATTTAATTGTTGAGATAAATATTTATGTTTCAGATAATGTATCAAAGCCATTGATTGTTCAAGACTTATAATTAAAGGCTTTTGGTCCCTTCAGAATATATCCACGACGTTTTTTCTTGATTAACGATAGTTATTTCCTTTCTAATACGATACATACTGGTAAGCGTAACATGATATCACATGATCTGACTTATCTGTTTCATATTTGAATATATAAAAAAGGCGTTAGTTATAACGTTGCAAAAAGTTTAGTGTTGATTGAAATGACTTTTTTTAAATTCCTAAATTCATCAATTTATGCATCAATAAACTCCTATCAACTGCATTCGGAATTTATAACTTTCCTTTTTTTCCATAGGCAAGAGGGTATTTAAAAAAACAATATGCGAACAATTTTCATTTCGATTTCAATTTATCTGAGGCATTGAAAGAAGGAGGAACTGGTTATATAAATAAAATCAATTTCCTTAATGTAAAAAAAAACACCCCTTTTGCTCAGTGAAGTTTATATCAAATTGATGCTGGAGTTTTACATTAACATTTTTTCTGAGAGAAAAAAGGCCATAAAACAAACCCTTTGTTATAAGTATACGTGTATCTATAGCTCTTACAGTGGAAAGACCATAATATGCAAATACTGTAGAAATCGACAAATTGTAGCAAGACAGGAATAGATCTACAGCCGCACACATGACTGATTTCAATGAACATTGAACGTACGTAAATACTGTCTGTCGTTTTAAATCCACATTGTTAAATATAAATAATTTCTGAAAAAGCACCAATTCCCATTGTATTTCACACTGCAATTAATTAGTAATAATTTCGTTTACGTTAAAAATAACCCAAAACAACGATAGTATGGGTTTAATTCAATGGAAATATGACTAATCGCGATGGTGAAATCAAATCATTCATGATACAGATATAGTTCCGATAAATTTAAAAGTATACCTTTGCTAAACCTAAACGCCAAATTATACATAATTTACTATTAAATCTAACCTCTGTAATTATAAGAGTTATTAATTGATTTAATCAAATGATATAATAGTTGTTAAATATTCTAAACAATTTTAAGGCGTAAATATCTTTACACGTTTTAGCGTTCTTGAAAACTACTACTATTAACTTTATAGTAGACCCAACAAGTAAAGCAAAAATGCCCAACAATACGAGGGTTGTCCCAAAAAGTCGTTAACAGGAAAAACAGTTTTGTTTTTCTTTGTTTTATTAAGTTTCTTTCCTTGTCATAGCAAAAAGTAACATTTTATGATCATGCACTTCAAGTTTCATGTTGATATCGCATCTTATAAGAAAAATTATTAGGAAATAAAGAAAGGATATAAGTGTTCACCGGAGACGAAAGAAAGCATTAATAACGTCGCTTATAATGTCATGGTCTCTGTTTGTTTCACTTGCGGGTATTAATATTCTAAAATTTGTTTTTAAAGTGATGGACAACTCTTGATTAAGGGACATATTTAAATTCACTACTGTCCGTTTGTTTTTTACTTGTTTTTGTTTGTAGGGCAGATTCAAATTCAGTCGAAATTTAGTTGAAAGATTGTATTACATTGTAGGCAGCTCATTGTTTGACGTCCTTTGCGTCCAGATCGTTCCCAATTGTCTGCGTTTATCAAACAGTACTCTACTTCTTATATGCCGTGATTAACTATTTTTGGTATAGAATAAAACTCTCATTGAATATCGTCTAATTTAAAAATAACTTCTTTATTAAAATCTGGTGTCTAATGTCACTTATGTATCCTTTTTTCCCGTCTCTGATATATATTAACCATATCCAACACAATTTATTACATCTCTGTGCGCTGACTACACGTTTGACGACGTCATTTTCATCATACTTAATTTCAACGACATTATGAAAATCATTACACCAATCGTCTTTTTCTAATGATATTTAAATGAAATTTTGACACAATATTAAGATTTTAATTCTGGTTTCAGTGATTTAAATTTGAGTTCAATGTATTACATAGTACTTAAGAAATAATAGTAAATATGGTAGTTATATGCGTAAATTATTCCAAATTTTGTTGTTCGCCGACAGGCCTTATCGGCCTTCATATAAATCGTCCAAATATTATCAATATAAAAGATATTAATTTAAAAATTCACAATTTTAAAGAACATTGACTACATTATGTCTATGCAAAATTTGGTAAGCATTGGTTGCATGTTTAAAAAATGAAAAGCATTGTCTACGACTTTTTGGGACAACCCTCGTATAAGTGTACCGATAATTATCAAATAAATGATGAATATTTGATAAAATGGTTGACCATTATTTCAGTTATTAGTTTTATTAATTTCATAATGAAAATAAACACTCCTGTCTAAAACACAATCTACTGTTTTCCGCTTCCATGCTTTCGTAAATACTAATATCAAAAGCCAAAATCTATCACATTATACACCGTTTCGCAACATGGAAATAGGTACTGCTTTAAAATAAAAAATATGAATCCCTTTAGAGAGGGAATTAAGATAATGACCACAAATTCAGTACCTACATGTATAAAACTTTAAATGGCATTTTTAGCATTGTAATACAGTTAACCATGAAATTAAACCTTGCGCTTGACCTACTTCCTTGGGTATTTAAATATGTTAGAAATCAATAACATCGACTTCTCAGTGTTTAATTTATAACAGATACTAAATTTGAAATCCTGAATTCCGATGTTTATCCAGGACCTCTATTTACGTTCCTGCTGACTTCCTATGCAGCAAACCAAGTGGCAAGTATATTTCATTAACTTTAGACTAGTGGATAAATACGAAAATTGTTAATAAGTGTAGCGAGTCAAATACTTATGTAAGCAATAAAATGATTATCCAAATCGTATTGTATATTGCAGCCTTTACTTAATATTTTTGAAAATTATTCATTTGTTTTACTAGATTCCAATGAGTAAGGTAAAAGAAAAGTCGGGTCGTTCACCACGGTCAAAGCCGTACGATCGTCCATCGGGCTCCTCCACATTAAAGAAACATGGCGACAATATAAGAGATCGATACCATAACAAAACACCATACTCTTCGGAAGAACAGACATTTAAATTTGATGTAGGCGCTCTATTTAATATATGGAGGCATAAAGAAAATAACAAAGAGGGATCTAAAAACTCAGAGGCAAGAAATATAACAGACCGATTAACTGAAGGATCACCCACAAATAGTGACAGTGACAATGACGATGTGGAGGAAATAATAGAATCTACTGGACTGAAAGCTGGTGGTAATACAGATAGTTTGAGTAGCTCTACTTCAAAAATTATTGACGCATTAAATGCTGGGTCAAAGAAAAGGCTAACACGCCCGGGTGCACCTAAACCTGAAAATAAAAATTGTTAGTAAAATTATGTAGATATAAATAATTTTGAATAATGGAAATGTTACTAATGTCGGATGACTACCATACATAACTCTAGGAATGACAAATAAGATTAAATATCATTATGCTCGACTTACTCCTTTTTGTCCTTTTTTACATATTGGAGCATAATTAGTTCTTAGCTTTATAAACATACATTGAAGTTGATTTAGTTGGGTTTCAATAAACAATGAAAGAAAAATCTAATTTGCAGTTATTTTTCTTTGCTTGGATATAAATTGCGGTGCTCTTCAATTAGGCAATACAAATACCATAATTTTTCCTTTTTTTCCATTTTTTTCAAGATATTATCAAATAGGTACCTATTCAAAAAAATAAAATGGAG